CTTGAGTTCGAATAGGGGAGTGTCCCGAACTGCCATGAGGCGAGCCAGTTCGGGTCACTACCTTGTGTGGCTCGGGGCCTAAGAGAGAGTTCGGGCTCCTCGTAGGGAGGTCGGGCTCCTCGTAGGGAGTTTGAGCTCTTAGTAGGGAGGTCGGGCTCCTCGTAGGGAGTTCGAGCTCTTAGTAGGGAGGTCGGGCTCCTCGTAGGGAGGTCAGGCTCCTCATAGGGACTTCAGGCTCCTCGAAGGGAGTTCGGACTGTTGGTTTCTTCCCTTTGGTGCTTGCGCCCTGGGTACGCTGTTTTAAGTGCCGAGCTATTTGCTTTTGCCACGTGGAGTGATTGCGAGGTCGGGCCAAATCTTCCTTCATAAAAAATAATTAAAACTTGCAATCCTATTAGAAAAGATTCAACCATATTTTTAAAAATATTAACATATACATGTATGTATACATATATACATATATACATATATAAATATATGCGTATATATACATATCTTAGAATCCCATGGGACGGGGATAGAAGTCCCTATAGGGCAAGGAATGCTCACCTCGTCCCCATGCCGTCCCTACCAATAGGGATGAAAATTTCTCCATCTTCGTCCCCACAAGGGGAAAATCATCCCATCCCCACCCCATTCGGGGCAGATCCCCATGGGGATTGTGGAAATGGGGAAAATTACCATCCCTAAGTTAAATAAACAATTTTATCTAAAATTAATTATTGTTATTTTTATATTATAAAAAATTATTAAAAATAATATATAAAATATAAGTGATTATTAATTATTATATAAAACAATTATATACTCTTACATGTTTCTATTATTTATCTTTAACTTAACAAATCCCGTGCGAGTCCCCACTAGTAAGTCCTTAAAATAAGGAATGCCAAATGCAACCTTAGCTGAGAATCTGAGACGGAACAATGTGAGCATCTAACGCGTGGATAGACAGAAATGTAACTTAACAATGGATTCAATGCCCTCTTCTCATTCCTGAGTCCCAGACAGATCCCCTTAAAGAGGATAACCACTTTTTGCTAAGCAATGCACAGGCACAGTTATGTCTAGGGAGGGATACAAGCCCATTACATGCTAGCAGAGAACTAGTTACATCACAAGCAAGTGCAAACATATATAATAGCACTCTATGCCTTGTCAAGTCAAGCATAAGCTTTCAAACTGTATTGCAAATAACAGACATATTGAAGCATTCTGTAATCCATTAGGAAAAAATATATATAGACATTCTTAATTTAAAATATAAAAAAGGCCGAAAGTCCAAAGATTTTATGTGTAAGTGCATCATCTCAAATTAGAACCATCTGAAATCCTTCCTATTAGAAAATCGGGAAGACTGATAATACCGCAGTTTCAAATGTACATTTGCTTACTAAAATTCCAGTTGAGTTGGTCACTTTTGCTCCTGATAGTAAGCTTGGCCTCACCTCATTTTAGCACACACCTACATGAACAGCAGAAATCAATTTGCCACAAAATGGTACCTTGAATCCACATAGCTCTCAACATCCCAGAGGAAAGAACCAAAAGTTACTGCTTCCAAAACAAGCCTCTTCAACCCCCCAAAGCTTATTCTAATGAGTTCATCTTTGGAAGAATCAATAGTCCCATGAGGTGTGATCACAATTTCAGGCCTCCCAAACAATGCCTCTGTATGCTTCTCAATGATGCTAACAGCCTCCTTGGATCTTATTGTCGCATACCTCTGCAGCATCTCTGCATCAAATGACATTACATAGGTACGGAGTTTTGATGACTTATACCCATGCCCAAACCCCCCTGGGCCGAAGTTCCCTAGCCACGATGAAACCTCAGGGTGAGTTTGCTCAGTCTGGGATGAAGCTTCAATACCCTCACCACCACTTGGAGTTTGCTCTGCCATAACTTGCTCAATGTCAGTCTCTTGTTCATCTGATGCATATGGAAGGATCTTCATTGTCTTCTCAAGCTGAAACCTCTGGTCAACCCGCTTGAGGAAATATCCATACATTACGGAGGCAGCATAGACTTGCCCAACCCTGAGTTTGCTTATCTGTGCAACAGTTCTAGAGTCCCCTACTCGGTTCCCCAGTATAAGAGCCAGGTGATTCTGAATCATCTCATAGGCTTCTGAGGAATGAAGCTGCTCAAGCTTCTCATCTTGGTTTGGCCATGTGTCAACTCGACCAGAAGGTTTGGATGAGAGTATTGTAGGTATCAAGAAAACATTGCCATCCATAAATTTCTGTACAACTAATGCATACAGGATCTCTTCTAGAGCTTTTCTCCTCTCTGTAGCCTTAACCTCAGCTATTCTCCTAATAATATATTGAAAAACTGAATCAGTTCTTGACCTCAAGTCTATAAAAGATTTTGGTATAAAAGACCTGGTTAGTTTTGTTACTAACCTGTACAAGACAAGGTCTGTGCTGGAAGACGATGGCTCTTCCTTCTGTTTCTCAGCATCACGATCAGTTTGAAGCTGTTCAAGCTGTTGGTCAACAGCAGCAGGAACAAGATGAGGATGGCTTCTCAAAATCTGAGCAAGGAACTGCCCAACAGGAGACTCCAACTTTAGAGGAGCAATCGGGGAAGCCGACTCAGTAGAGTCCTGAGAGGCCGATGCCTTCATAATGGTCCTCTTCCTACTTTTGAAAACTGAACTACTCTGTCCTTGCTTAGAAAGATAAGTTGAAGGAGAATGCTGCAATTAATTAGTTTTGACCAAAAAGAAAAGATAGCATCAACAATCGCTCTTCTTAAACAACAGCTCCCCATCCACAAATTGATAGAAAAAGATGGGTTCTCCAATCAATTGTTCTATAGCAATTTACTAAATCTCCAACTACAACAAAAATCGGAAATTCACATCAAAAGAAAAATTAAAGCCCATATTTCCAAAGGGAATATTCAAACTCCCTTTCTCAAATGGAAAAACAAAAATTTAGAACCAAGCTTTAATTAAAACAAAAATTAATATTCAAAAATCTAAACTTGAAGTTTCTGGGATGACCTCGAATAGTAATCATCCAAAATAATTCATGAACCAGGGGAAACCTTCAAAGACTACTGAGCCAACATCCAAATTTCCCCTTACCTTGATCCATCCGTTCGAAAGACGAAGTTTGGAATTGAAGAAAACAAAATCCGGTGCCCTCGCTGTTAGAAAACCTGATTCAGTGACAAAATTTGGAGGTTTACATATCCCAGAAGAAGACCGAAGAACCGCGACTGCTTCCATCTGCTACACCAAATCCTCCGTTAAACATCAAAGAAACCTAAACTCAACCTAGAAATATCCAACCAACCGAACCGATTACCTTCAAAACCTCAGTAGAGAGAGAAAGAGAGAGAGTTTCTGGTTTAGGGCTTGAGAAGCGCAATGGGAGCCTGGGAGCCTGGGAGCCTGGGATGGTCGTCTTCTATAGCGAATTAGCGATCGATGGTGGAGATGAGAACTGATGAATGATGATAAGCACGTGAAACTGTGAAAGTATACTTTGTGAACTGTGAAGAATTAGGATTTACTCCTCACACAATCCTCACAACGCGCTGCAGCCGTGTATTGGGAATCTGGATTTACTCCTCATAGACCGCTCCTCATGCCATCTTTACAGCACCGCTTTCATCCGTGCATTGAGAATATCTCTGCACTGTCATTCATGCGAAAATATTTTCAATACAGGGCTGCGATGTGCTTAATGTTGATGTGAGACGGCCTTTGTGAGTAACAAATCCAATTTGATTGAAATCGAGATTTAAAATCCGTGCAACCAATAATATTGAATGGATTGTTGTTAATTCTGATTCTTATCATCAAAAAAAGATAAATTCTCTATTTTTTATTTCTTTATAGGGACCCGTCCGATGCATGGAAAAATCTGAAAGATTTAATAATTTTATTTTATATTTAATATTGATTTATGAAAAATAATTATTGTTAATTTAATATGAATAAATATTTTTAATAAATTTAGTTTTATTAATAATTTGTAGTAATTTTAATATTTTTTATTTTTTATTATTCTTAAATAAATTTTTGATTAACTTTAAATAAATAAAAATAATTATAAAATCTAACATTTTTATTAATTCCACTAATAATTAACAATTATATAGGAATGACAACGGGGTGGGTTCAGGGTAGGGCACCCCATCATTTTCCCTACCCTATAGTCAAGACACTCTACTTCATCCCCACCCTGTCCCCATTGTCATGCAAGTTCAGGGCAAGGTAACCACTCCTCAATGTCGAGCGAGTTAAGGGGCAAGACACCCCACTCCTAAGGAGAATCCTCGAATTTCCCTGCCTCGTCCCCAATATTGGACGGGTTCAAGTAGAGATGTAAATTGGATCGTACTGGCTCGGCACGATACGATCCGCATGTGGCCCACACAAAGTGCGAGTCGTGTTGTACTGGCCCACAAGGCATCTCGGGCCGTGCCTCCCTCCTCTAGGATAATTTAGGGGGGTGGTTTGGCACGGCCCATGGCCCGAGACTACATGGACTCGTGTCGTGTTGTGGGTCGGGCTAGTCAATGGGTCGGGCCTTGGGCTAGGCCATGCCACACACCAAGCCAAGCTCGAAGCAAGACACCTACTCCCTGTTCAAGGTTTTTAAAATTAGACTGGATAAGGAACCGTTGTAAGGTCGAATGGTTCTAGGTTGAGACTTGGGACTACGTTCAATAAGTTTAATTAGATTGGGTCGGGTTCAACTAGGTTTAGCTATGGTTGGGTTAAGTTGGGTTGGGTTCAGGCAAGTTTAAATAGGTTGGATTGGGTTCAGCTAGGTTAGGTTGGGATCAGCTATGGTTGGGTTAAGTTGGACTAGGTTCAGCTATGTTGGTTGAGCTTGGGTCTAATTAGGAAAGGTTGGGTTAAAATGGGTTTTAAATAGCTAAGATACAAAAAGGAAATGAAATATAGTTATGATATCTCTCTTTATTGAAATTACTTGGTAACTCTAGCTGGCACCAAATGATTTGAAGTTAGTAGGACTGCAAAGGCTGATTTGAATCTGATATACCTAGATGCAAATTTCATCTATTTATATTTGGAGTTGAATTGGATCTTTTTTTATACTATCTAGATCACACTTAGGTTGGATCCAGATTGTGTACATCATCAATACTTGGGAACTTAAAAATTTATAAATTGGAGGACATTTGGCATCTAACTTGAAGTTGGCATCTAACTTGGGCTATGTTAGGAAGTATTGATTTTATTAGCAATTTTTGTTGGCAACAATATTCCACTCTTTTCTGTTAAATTTTCTTATGGTTGAAGTTGACAAGTTTTAATATAATAATGTAAAATATTTAACTCTTCTAAACCATTTAAAGTTTATCTATTGCTTTCTCTTTGTTAGAAAGGACTTTTTTCTATCATTAAATTGTGTTCTTTCTATACTTAATGCATTTAGGAAATATAATCTAGTCATAAAGAAGGTACTTGCTATCATTCAAAATGGATTAAAATACCTGTTCTATTCTGTTCTTGTAAGTCAGCAGATCCTACAAGTGTGGGCATAGTTAGAGTTGACATCTCAGAAAGGAATTGGAATGAACTTGTGAGAAAGGAATTTCAGAGCTCTTTGGTTGTTGGTGTTCCATTTACTATTATTCGTGAGTCCACATAAGCACAATGCCATGATGTTTCTCATGTATTAGAGAATTTGTATTCATTTGAAACTTAACATGTATTAATTTCTAATTCGAATGAATTAATTTTTTTGGTAAGAAAATATTTGAATGGAAATAGATCTTTTAAATTGCATTTATTTTGTTTTTGTACTGTTTTAATGTTAATTGGATAATTGAATTAAAATTGTTTTATTTAAATTGATTTTTATGCATTATCTATCATGAGATTTGTATTTAACAGGTGCCAGAAAATGTTGAAATCAAATTGATATAAATAATAAAAAATAAAAATGAATCAAAACCGGCGGTCATACAACTATCGCCTTAGACATAAAAGAGCTCTAATACGGCGGTCTTGACCGCCACCTAAAAAAGGGAAGCAACGTTTGGACAGACCTAAGCCGGCGGTCTTGACATACCACCGGCTTAGGAATGACTGAACCACGGACCGGGCGTTAAAAGGCAGCGGTCTTTTCTATTTAAGCCGGCGGTCTTGACTTAGGCCGGCAAGTGGTTTAGGGGGCGGATTCATGACCGCCGCCTTAGACCAAGCCGGCGGTCATGACCGGTTTTGTTTGGTGAGGGTCAATATGAGTGGGTGGAGTATCAACCCACACCCAACCCAATTCACCTATTTATCACCCGTAATTCTGTGAAAATGATGGCGTCTATGTCCATCAGACCTTTTTAATTAAATAATATCCAGCCAAAGTTGATTGACACGTGGCAAATAAAGACATTTTTTCTTTCGATACGGTTTAACTTCACCTATAAATCTATAATGAAACCACCCACAGGATTTCAAAAACCTACAAAGTAAAGAGACCACTGAGATGGTGGGCCCCACATGCTCAATGAACCCAATTTTGCAAATTGCAATGCCACTCACTGATAAAGAAGGATGTAGCAGGTATTGTCTTCGTTAGGCAAATTCTTTGTTCTATGTCGGTAGGATGTTATGGCAACTTCTATTCTGGTAGATAAAACTTAAACCCACTTGTATATACACTGTGGTTGTGTGGAGCATGCATTTATAGCCTCGAACAAACTGATAGCCCTTAGTAAAAGGATTTATTACCAAAAATTAAAAAAAAAAAAAAATACAGAACTCCATGAGGGCCCAAAAGGGATGATGTCAACTCAAGGGGAAGGATGATTGGAGTTCACGTCTAATGATTAGAGTTGTTCTCTTTATAACCAATTAAGATGGTGGGTCTTAAACAAATGTTTTGTAAGCCTTGAACCATTTTCAATCCAAAACATATCGTATTAGTTATTCTTGTATTGCTCATGATCAGGGATGTTAATGGGTCAAGTTAAATGATAAATTCACATTTAATCCAGTCTTATAGGGTTGGGTTAGGGTTAGGCTTATTCTTGTGTATGGATGAATGAGTTTTGATTCTTTAATCCGAGTCGAATTCAGATTTGGCTGATCCTCCCTACTGAGCTATGATATCCTTACATATATAGGTATATATATTTTTGTAATTTTCTGCGACCTCAGGTAGCCTTTTTGCTTTCAATTTCTTTTCATGTTTATTTTACTTTTTCTTCTTTTACTAATAGAAGATGTAATACCTTAAAACCTATAAAACAAACTCCTATTTAAATTAATGACTTCTAAGTTTTAAAATATGTTCTGAAAAATACAATTGAAAAAACGAATTGGATCAGATTCAACTCTATAGGGTTGGGGCGGGTTCAGAAAAATGTCATGTTTCTTGGTTGGGTGGGGTCAGGTTTTGGGTGGAGGTATTAGAGGGTCGGATTAGGGTCAAGACAAACCCACACCGAACCTGACAAGTCCACATCCCTAATCTGGATAAAATTTTAGTATCAGCCCATTACTCTTTAACAATGATGTTTTAACTTTTCAAAAATGTGGTATGGCTTTTAAAAACAAACCGGTGACCGAATCAGTCAGGGGTCCGGTTACTGGTTCAAACGGTTCAACCTGAACAGTTGGTCTGTTTTGACAGAAAAATTAAAAAGTTATGAAAATTAAAAAAAATAGAAAATGGTTAATCGATTGGTTCAACGGTTTATTGACCAAACTCAACAATTTTGAGGGAAAAAGCGGTTTTGGGGAAAATGGAACCAGTCAGGTGACCAGTTCCCGGTTTTTCCAATCTGACCGTCCAGTCCAGTCTGATTTTGAAAACCATGGTGAAACCAACAAAACCCTAATGTTGTGTTTGGTTTAAAGGAAAAGGTAGAAAAAAAGAAAAAGATAGAAAAACCTTTATAAATCTTGTATAAAATTTCGTACCTTTTCCTTCCTTTTTCTACCTTTATCCTTCAATTTAAACATAGCTCTTGTCAATGAAATAACTCACTATTAAGGTTGTTCTTCACCTAGCATCTGTTCCGGGCACACCTCAAATTTGAAATTTCATCAAAGGAAAAAGCAACCATATAATTCTTGTCTACCCAACAAACCAACAAAAAAAAAAAAATAGTATAATTCAATGCATACCTACCTTCTCATGAGCACACAGTTATTATTGATATTGTAGGGGCCACTCGGTCCTTTCCTATTTATTACTTGTTTGGAAGATCTCTGCCATTTATTTTTCTTAAATATCTATTGTTTTTCACATGTTAGTCATATGGACTCAGTTTGGAAAAGAGTATAAATACAAATATATACAGTGCATATACATACAAAATAATACAAAATAGAAGATTTTAACACTATATATTTGTATTTGTACTCCTTCTAAACTGAGCCTTAGTGCAGTTTGACAAGTCTTTTTATGAAAATTTTCTGACAGTTCATATAGCCAATAAAAATAATAAGTTTTTGGGGAATTGTCTTTA